ATTATGGTGCTACAAGACTTCATTCAATGGAGGACAACCACCAATTCTCCAACAGAGCTTCCACATAATCTTAATCAAGACTAGTGCCTGAAGCACAACACATTTAGTGGGGTACCAACAACGCTACCATCAACAAGGGCTTTAATCCACAAATTCTCGGAAAAGCGTTCCCACACTTCTTGACAAATCAAGACTATGCTCTTAAGCAAAACCAATTTAGTGCCGAACCAAGAAGGGGAACTTGCCATCAATGGAAGGGGGCAACCAGTAATTCTCAAAAGCTTCACATACTCTTAACAAGAATAGTGTGAAGCAAAACCAACATTTATGGTGCTTCCCAACAAGGAGCTGTGCAATCAAAGGAGTTCAAATGCCATAATTCTCAAAATAAGCTTCAACATGTCACTTGGATCAAGACAAATGTGTGACAGCAAAACCAATTTATGGTGGCAAAAAGAAATTTCCAGAAGGAACTATTCTTATCATGGGGTGAAGGTGTGGCAACCACCAATCTCAAAAGCTTCATGTGCAAGGGTTGATCAAAGACATGTGAGAAATTTTGCAAAACCAATTTATGGTCCAACATAAAGCTTCATCAAAGAGTTCAAGCATTAATATTATTCCAAAAAGCTTCACACTTACATTTTTGATCAAGGGTTCAGTGTAAAGAAAAACACCAATTTATGGTGCCTCATACAAAAGCTTCATTGTTATGGAGGGGCAAAACTACAATTCTCAAGACTCTCTTGCGATTTAAGCTAAATTCAATTTTTGGATTATGGTTCCATTCTTAATTAGCACTTCGACCTAATTACCACCTGGTTTCAGACTGTGGCCTTGCCATCACAAATTCTCGTTATTACTCTCAATCACGCTGTGGATAGCAAAATTTTTGCGTGATATGTCGTCGGCTGGCCCACATTTCAAATTCTAGTTTCCCCCAAAAAACAAAAAAAAGGGAAATTCGATTTCAGGCATTGCCATTATGAAGATGGACAACTACAAACATTCTTCAAAAACTTCAACACTTCTCTCGTGATCACAAAAATAAACTTGAGTGAAGCCAAAGTCAATTCAATGGTACCTAATAATGAAACATAGCCACTTATAGCTCACCTCACAATTCACGCATGTCAACTATAATACTTTAATATATTATTATTATTTTTTTCTCTCGACACTCAATAAAATTCAAATTAAATCAAGAGGTTCAATGTAATTTCCGAAGGAGATCTGAATGGTTTCTGAGGTTATTAACATGAATAAATTCATAAAATTTATCATGAAATTTCAAAAAAATAAACAAAAAAATAACCTAGGCCTCCTCTTTCTTTGGCCTAACAGAGGACTTCATAACAAATATATGGAGGAAGGAGGCAGCTTTTGGGAGCACAAAACCCACTTAAAGGAAAAAGAAAATACCTGGGTAAAGTTTATCCGGGAGTTCTCTCTGTGAGGGCTGTTATTCTTCTCGGTACAAACGTTTGCGCTTCTACAGTCTAAGACAGTCTCACTATTCTGTCTATTATCACTCCACTTTGGGCTCACCGCGATTTCCACCGGTTTCATTGGAAGACTTGGGGGATCTCGGGCATACCAATGCCTTACTTGAATGGAATGTGCGCTTGCAGATATCTCGGATAAGTAATACTTACTGGACCCACTAACTTTATCAGTGACTATGGATTTTTCAAAGAGTCTGCACAACCCGAGAAAATTTCTCCACTTGGGAAAATTAAAGGGAGCACTACTCTAGCTCAAGACTCACAAATGGACTTCACTCACAAGGCTTCAACCAATTTACAAGTTATTCAAATTAAAAGGGGAATATTCACTTAGAAGGCGTTAAAGTGACAATGGTGATCAGGTCCTTGGGGCGTATATTGTAACACAATTTATATACGTTGATATAGAATTAGCAAACCCTAGTTAAGTGCCTTATAGGTCTCCATACTCTTTCCGCATATATTTGTTTACATTTATATATTGGTACATATTTACATCGAATTTCTACAAATAAACTAAACTAAATATTGGAAGCCTTCACATATATGGTTGCTTCAGTGAGTAATGTGTTTAGGGTCTAGAAAAAAAACAAAGCCCCATGACCCTGGGGCGGGTTCCAAAAGCTTAGGAGGCATTCCTTATATTGGTGATTTTTAATTTGCGAGTAGGCGCTCGTACCTAAAAGGGACAGAACCTCCAAAGAGGATGGCAAACTGACAGGTTGATCATCATGTTACTGGAGGTTCATTTAAGTACGACGGGCACTATGGGATAATCCCAGACTCACACGGAGGCCCCAGGATGAGACGAAGGCTAATAAATGCCTATCTGGAGACAAACCACTTTTTCCACATAACCTCTGATGATTAAGTAAAATCTTTTGACCATGGGCCAGTCTTCGCTTGCCAGGCAGGGTCGAGCTTTTCTCTTCATGTTTTGGTGGGAGCAAATAGTCCATTGGGTGCGAGAACCTCTGTTAATTCTGGATTATTGTCCTCCATCGCTTGATGCCCTTTCTGATATTCCTTGTTTGAACTTATACTTACAAACACGCCAATGATTCCACCTTGGCGGAGTATTCCAGACTAGTATAGGCGTTGGGAACACAGTTGCCCGAGCTAACCGGCTTGTGTCCATATTTGAGATACAACAGAACTTTGCATACACATAAGAACACTGGAGCAGCCTAGAGAAATCCTTAACAGCCAACAGGTCATACAGACCATTTGGAAAGGGTATCCTGTTAATCGTGTAGGGTAGTAAGACAGCGTTCTTAAATGGCCACCGACACTATGCAAGACAGGGTACATCTCAGGGCTGTCTTCATCACAGAGTCTCCAACGGTAAAAGGACTCAGTAGGGGATAGAGACGATGGGCCATAACCTGTTGTAGGTTGAGGAAGGCATGGCTTCGGCTCTTCCACACAAGTTAAGTATCAAACGAACGGTGCGTGAACCAATAATGGGCAAAGACCAATGGTTTCATAGAATAGATGAAGTGAGAAATTTGCAGGAATCGCCACCTATAAACATCTGAAGTAAGTTTTGCGCACACAATTCCTAAAACCGCACATAACTCTCTGAATGTACTCCTTCGCATCACAATTGGTAACCACTATATATAAAGCAGGAGAGGCAACTAAGTGGGGGACCAGTCTGGACTCCTTGAATCAGAAATTAAAGGAGAGGACGGACTTATCTCAAGCGGAAACGGATATTTCGAAAAGAGCACGCACTACTGGATGGGTCGGGCAAATAAGTCATCACTTCTGGATATCCGCTACAATGGGCGTAACATCAGTATGTCTTCGGTACCAAACAGATCAACATTTGCCAAAATCTACTGAACAAGTTTAGCCAGCCACATAACAATTTGAAGGTCTCAGCTAACTACTGGATAGGCCCTTGAGTGCCAGTAAGAGAAGGACATCAAGGTAAAAGGAGAACAACCAACCAAAAGCTCTGATAACTAGCAAATTGTCCTAAATGTGTGTGTCAACCTCCATGCTCACGTTAGGCCAAAGGCGCCACTACTGGCAAACAAAGCCCCAACCCTTGTAACTCACATTCGCAGAAAACCACTCTTTCTAACATGATTGCTGCTCAAAAATCGAAGAAGGTCACTGTCTTCAGCGAATCTCGAGAGCCAGAGGGCACTTCGCCAACAAGATTACTTTCTCAAAAAATACAAAAGAGACACTGCCTTTTAGAACATCTCATATGAGCTTCAGCCTCCTAACAAGATTGCTGTCTTTAAATAAGGGATCGACAGATAGCACAGCTCTCTAATCTCGAGAGCCAGAGGGGCTGGCCCAACAGAGGTTACTTTCTAAATAAATCGAAGAGCAACTCGGCTCTCACGCAATCTTCGAAAGCCAGACTCCACATGATTACCATGCTCAAAATCGCAAAGAGGCATAGCCCGCCCTCCCAGGGGAGACGTCTGAGAGCTAGACTCCCCAACAGTTGATTACTTCTCCAAAATCGAAGAGACACTGCTTTTCCGAAGCTCAAGAGTCCAGAACTCCCAACATAAGATTGACTTTCGTCAAAAAATCAAAAGAAGGCCAGGCCCATCTATTTCAATTGAGCTGAATCTTGAGAGCCAGCAATCGCGGCACTTGAGGCACCGAAAATTAGCCTGTTTACGGCAAAAGGAAAACGGAGGAGAAGCAAGAGCCCGCGTCTCAAAAAACCGCAACATTCGGACAAGACCGGCGCGAGCATTTTCGCGTGGATAACCTGGTTGTCTGCAATCTTGCGACGAGCATAACGCACCAGTTGGAGCTTTTTCCAAGATTAACCACATCACACCGGGTCACTGGGGCAAATTAGGCGATTTTTGACAAAGTATGTCTCTGACAAAGTTTAATAAAAACACGTGAAGCTTCTGTAGTTCACTATAATGTGCTATGGTAGCCACACCGCATCGTGTTAGAGAGGAATGAAGAACTTAGGTTAGACTTATTGTTGGGTCAGGGCCGGGAGACTCCTGAGGAGTAGGGTGTCGACCCTTCTATGACATCCATAGTCAGGCAAAAGCACTACAAATCTAAAAAAATGCTCAGAGGCTTTTCTTCATATCTGGAAGGACTTTGCACTTTCTCAGCGGAGGGAGTGTCTCTCGAAATACTGTTACAGTCTTATTTCCTCTCGAGGTGTAATTACCTGTTTTCATGGCAATAGCAAAAAGCCCACACCAGAGCAAGAGTAAATACTCATCATCATCAGGGGTTAAAAAAACGCAAGAGTATCCCATATCATTCGTCTTTTTCCATGTCTTTTCCTTTGGCCTAATTCTTATGCTGGAAGACAATTTTGAGAAGAGAGCAAATCCATCGTGCACAAAATCGCAGTCAAATTTCATAAACTAATGGAGATGGACCGGTTTAACATCTTTGTTCCTTTATCGAAGTCCCGTGTCTATCATTTTCATAAAGGGGACAAGATTTTCATCAGTGATGATATCCCTTTCATTTTGATTATGATTTGGTAATTAACCTGCAAAGATGAACCTAATTTGTACTGGATGGTTTTTTATTTTTTCTGCAGGTATAAAGGAGTTTGAGGCAAGGTGGATTGGTTGGGCCGGGGTAAATGTGCCGGATGAAATTGGACAGAAGGCACTTACTAGAGCTCTCGCTGAGAAGGTCCAAATTTCTGTACCTGGATTTCTTTTAAAACTGAAATTTTCCGTCATTCATAGACATTGGTTCAGCTCATTTTCACTCTTGCTTATGTATACAACACTTTCCGGTGTAAATGTCCATGAAATTTTAAGATGGTTGTTTTGTTCCTTACAGAGATGTATCCCAGTTTTTCTTGACGAGGAGATTGTTCATCAATATTACAATGGCTATTGCAATAATATTTTGTGGCCCCTTTTCCATTACCTTGGACTTCCACAAGAAGACCGACTTGCCACCACCCGGAGTTTCCAGTCACAGTTTGCTGCATATAAGAAGGCAAATCAAATGTTTGCCGACGTGGTTAATGAGCACTACGAAGAGGGTGATGTAGTTTGGGTCCATGATTACCATCTTATGTTTCTTCCAAAATGCTTGAAGGATTACAATAGTAAAATAAAAGTTGGTTGGTTTCTCCACACCCCTTTTCCTTCTTCTGAAATCCATAGGACGTTGCCATCACGATCAGAACTACTCCGTTCAGTTCTTGCAGCTGATTTAGTTGGGTAATTATTCCTTACATTCTGCACCAGTAATTAATTTTCTTTGCAGTTTACTTTGCTGATGATAATTGAGAAATGCTGTTACTAGACATTTGGCATATCTTTTGAATCTATCAAGCTTGGTTGTTTTTGCATCTATCATTGAGAAAGTATTTCATGTTGCAAAAACTAATGACATCTTGTTATATTCCTCAAATGCTTAAAACTATCTGGCTTTCATCCGCGATGCATAATATTTAGGTCTAGCCGTGATATTCTGTTTCTTTTGTGCTAAGCTATCTTCAACTGCATTCGTTTGCTGGCATGAGGCATGATATGGCTTATTGTATTTCACATGGTATAGAAATTTCAGAAATAGAAGACCCCATTTATGTAGAAATAACGTGTTCTGAACATTGCCTTCATTCCTCTTTTGAATTATGCTACAATCATCCTTAATAACCATAAAACAGTAGAATATCTAATCGGTAAAGCATAATTCAATCTCAATTAGCACAAGGAGGAGGCAATAATGGGGTATCAAATTACTAGGAATGGAATAGTGTTGACAGCTTTAGTTAACTATAAATTCTTCGAATTTCTATTGGTACTTTGAGATGTTGTGTGAAGTGATTTCATGCACAAAAACCTAATATGCATAGCAACTAGAAAGTTCCGTGACTTATTGTCTTGTTTTTTCAGTTTTCACACTTACGACTATGCACGACACTTTGTTAGTGCTTGCACTCGCATTCTTGGACTTGAGGGCACACCTGAAGGAGTTGAGGATCAAGGAAGGCTTACTCGAGTGGCTGCGGTCTGTATCTGTTCAATTATTACCTGTTCTTTTCTTGTTTTTTGGTATTCTATCTTTTAAGGTTCTAGTATCTTTTTATACAACGTTTAGCGTTTAACAAATTGAGTGATATACGCACATTGGAATCTAATTCTAGCTGTACTTGCACGTTTTAATTTCAGTTTCCTATTGGAATAGATTCAGACCGCTTCATACGTGCACTTGATGTTCCTCAAGTACAAGAACACATTAAGGAATTGAAAGAACGGTTCGCTGGGCGAAAGGTAAGTGTTCTTTTGTTGTTTCAATGATCCTAGACACATGGACAAATCCGCCTTTTATCTCTGTCTAGTGAAATCTGCCAAACACATGGGTAGTTTTAAAAGGTAGCACGCTCAGTCTTGCAACTCAAACACAGAAGTTTATTTCTGTTACCTTCTTTAATTTGGCATCATTACTCCAAGGAACTTCACAAGTGAGTTCGTTTTCGAAAAGGATGCTGGGAATAGAAGCCTTAGAAGCTTTTTTTTTTTTTTGGTCTTTTGTTTAGGGTCTTCAGTGAGAAAACAAATGAAATTTCCAAATTTCTTCTTCTGATGATCGATTCAACCTCTGATAAAAAAGATATACCTTGGTTATATTTTCATCTCTTCAACAAGTTTAGTAATGAGCATAACGGCCCTATTGTTCGGATGGAGAGAAGAACCTACGATTAGCTTTTTCGGGAAATTTCCAAACGAACAATTTAACGAAATCTTTCAATTTCTTATTTTACTATATATGCCGCTTTTTTCTCTAGTTATGACTGTTTTTTTAACACTGCAGGTAATGCTAGGTGTTGATCGCCTTGATATGATTAAAGGGATTCCTCAGAAGATACTGGCTTTTGAAAAGTTTCTTGAGGAAAACCCAACTTGGCGTGACAAAGTGGTTTTGCTGCAAATTGCGGTGCCAACAAGAACGGATGTTCCAGAGTGTATGCCCCCTCCTTAGGATGCTTTGTCAAGTGTTTTTTGTACTCTTAGTTGCATTTAGAATAAACTAGGATCTATATATTCGTTTCATTTCTTTGTTTTATCTTGATGGTGATGTATAAACTACTTATCTTGCATTTTCACAGATCAAAAACTTACAAGCCAGGTTCATGAAATTGTTGGCCGAATAAATGGAAGATTTGGAACTTTGACTGCTGTCCCAATACATCACCTGGTATGCCCTTGATTTTCTAAGTAACTATTCCACAACATGTTATTGAAAGAGCCTCGGTGGAATTTAATACAAAGGATGTTGATGTGCGACGTTATTGGTCTGTCTTTATTAACATTCTGTATGATAATGGCATATTAGGAGACATAATTTAAATTTGAAAATGCTTGGATTCATGCCACAAGGGTCATTAGTTGGTTAAAGTTCATCTGCAGTGGAATTATATATCTCCTGCTTAGCACTATGCGATAAGGTGTAGTAGTTTTGTAGCACCTTATTAAGGGGTGCCCCCTCACAAAGGGGTCTCAGTGACTAGGCCCGGGCGACTGTTTACCAAAAACATAGGTCTCTGCAAAATTGTAAGACCATGTATGGGGGATAACGCTTTAGTATTCTTTATTGGGTGGGGTAAACAAAATATATAAAAAGGTCGTACCCAGTGCACAAGGCTCCCGTTTTACGCAGGGTCTGGGAGAGGATTCATTGAGATTCTCAAATTTTGAAGATACTTTTTTTGAAAAGCCGAGCCACTAGGATGAAATAAAAAGAGTTCCGCATTATCAATAGCAGTTGTTTTTCTTACATATATCAAGTTTGCTCGAGATTTGAACGAATACTTCCTAACCAATTCTTTTTTTGTCTACAGGATCGTTCTCTTGACTTTCATGCGTTGTGTGCACTATATGCTGTAACTGGTACCATTCTACATACTCTGGCTCTGGTTCCCTGTTTCTTTTAACCCATTTTTTGCGAGCAAATAAGTTTTCGACATAACTTTTCAGCTAGTATCTGAGAAAATGTATATATAACTTTTCAGCTAGTAAAATCTCCTTGTGTCCGTTTGGTTTCGTTTTCAATTTGTCCAGATATAGCACTTGTCACATCTCTGAGGGACGGAATGAATCTTGTCAGTTATGAGTTTGTGGCATGCCAGGATGCAAAGAGAGGGGTCCTTATTCTTAGTGAGGTAATAACTAGAAATTTGCGTGCTTTGTTATGCTTCATCTTCACTCAAATTCTCATTTCTACCAATTTGATGAACTTATATTCTGTTTTTATAGCTGCCATGTTACATGGCTTGGATCGGAATCGGATACACGAAAAGTTTATCTGATTTCAAAAACGCATACAGAATCATCTTAAAAGACAATCTAATATTCGGTCTTTAGAACTGTAAACTCGAGTGTAATCTTTTTACCTCGTCCTTTTTCTTGCTTTGACACTTCCTGTTCCTTGTGTAGTTTGCTGGTGCCGCACAGTCTTTAGGTGCTGGAGCAATTCTAGTGAACCCGTGGAACATCACAGAGGTTGCCAATTCAATTGCTCAAGCATTGAATATGCCCTCTGAAGAAAGAGAGAAGCGACACAAGCATAATTTTTTACACGTGACAACCCACACTGCACAGGAATGGGCCGAAACTTTTGTAAGGTATGCATGCTTGAGTGTCGTGTGTTTAATTCTTGAAGCACAAAATTATTTCTTTGCGATGTCTAACGATGGTAAACCAACATAATTTAACATGGTTCTTGGCGATTCGTGGCATACATTTTGTTTTCCTCCACATCTTAACAGTTTAAGCTTTCGAGGACAATGTAAAACCTCTAAAAATTTAGCAATAATATGTTTTCTGAGTTGAAATTGGAAACATATGCCTACGCAGTTTCCGATACCTTGACCCTTACAAAAATCCTGAAGGACATGCTTGTATTTTAAAAGGTGGTGTAGATAGATTATGCACTGAGACTTGACATTCATATCACGATTTTTCAGTGAACTGAACGATACTGTTGTAGAGGCACAATTACGGACCAGACAGGTGCCGCCACCACTTCCAAACAAGGACGCAATTCAAAGTTATTTGCAAGCAAATAATCGATTGATCATACTGGTATGTCATGGGAATGTCCCAGTTAAGAAGTAATGTTCATGTACCTCTATCAAACCTTTCGTTATCATAGGTATCTACATGGTATTCAAATTTTAGCGGATTTTCATGGTATTCTTGGTCAAGTATAGGAAGTGTGATGCAATGCTCAGGTTTCTAGAAATGTCTTATTGGTAATCAGATCTACTTGTACACACCAAATCTCACTCCCCAAATTGTAGGTTTTGGTTATGCAGCATGCCTTTCTTTGCTGAGTAAACTGGCAGCATATAAAGGTTGCTTCCATTGAAGTGTTTGACATTTTAAGTAGCCAATAATACATCAAGTCTCTCACCAATTTTAATACAGTGAAGTATTCAGCTGTCTCATCGATTGTGAGACTCTTTATTATCTATTCTTCGGTGACATAAAGAGCTGAATTTTCTTCCTAAGCCCAGTTTGGATTTTATGGTTTAGGCATCACAGTTAAAAGATTTTATGGTTTTAGCATCTGGTTGGCATTTTCTTTCATCCATCTGAGCTTTCTGGTGATGAGAACTCAGGGATTCAACGTGACATTGACTGAACCGGTGGACACACCTGAGAGACGAGGTGATCAAATAAAAGAAATGGAACTTAAACTGCACCCCGAATTGAAAGAAACCTTGTCAGCACTCGCCAATGATCCGACAACAACTATTGTCGTCATCAGTGGGAGTGACAGATATGTCTTAGATGATGTAAAACATCGATTTCCACATCTAAGTTCCTTACCACCCTTATCTTATCCCTTTTTTAATTAAGGTGTTTTTACAGAACTTTGGGGAGCTTGATATGTGGTTGGCAGCTGAAAACGGGATGTTTTTACGCCTTACAAAGGGAGAATGGATGACAACAATGCCTGAACATTTGAATATGGAATGGGTTGACAGTGTGAAGGTGCTCGCGTCTTGAATTCAAGTAATATTCGGTTTAGTTGTATCCTCGTTCCTTCATACTTATAATGCTGATTTTATTTTTTCAGCATGTTTTTGAATATTTCACAGAGAGAACACCACGATCACATTTTGATAAACGTGAAACTTCCCTTGTGTGGAATTATAAATATGCAGGTATAGCTTCTTTTTTTTCAAACCATCTAAGCAGAAAAAGAAATCGGTTTTGTTGAACCCAATTTCACTTGGAGAAAGTTTTTTGAACAAGTGAACTTTGGTTACTCTAATTCCTACTTTTTTCTGTTTCCTTTTCACCTTATCATAACCGCAGATGTTGATTTTGGAAGACTTCAAGCAAGAGATATGCTGCAGCATCTCTGGACTGGCCCGATTTCTAATGCCTCTGTTGATGTTGTTCAAGGTAGCCGGTCTGTTGAGGTTCGAGCAGTTGGTGTGACAAAGGTGAAACTATGATGCTTTGCCTGTGAAAACAGTTGAAATTATTTTGCTTATATTTTTCAAACAACTGTTTTGTTTCTGAAAATTCTCTTTCGGTTCAGGGTGCAGCAATTGACCGTATATTGGGAGAGATAGTTCACAGTAAATCCATGACGTCCCCCATTGATTATGTGCTGTGTATTGGACATTTTCTTGGCAAGGTAACTTTCTTGTTCTGCAAGTCATGTATTTGCTCGTCTCTGAACTCGTTATTTGAGTCATTCTGAAAGCTTTCTTTCTGATATGAGGAAAACTCAGAATGTGAGGTTAATCCTTCATTGCATGCTATACTATCATGTTGAAGACTCGAAACCCTCGTTTTTCGTTGATTTATGATGTTTTTCTGGTATGGGAAAGAGTGTTTATATGCTCTAACTTCCAACTGCGGAGAATGGAGAACATTTGATTCAAGTGTTTGTTCATTTTCATTTCAGGATGAAGATGTGTACACCTTTTTCGAGCCAGATCTTCCGTTTGAGCCGATTGGTCTTCCAAGAACCAAGATATCCGATGGACTAAAACCAAACGAGAGAAGATCTTCTTTGAAGGCTCCGGCAATCAAAGGCGGGTCAAAATCATCTCAGAGCAAGGCGCAACGGCTTGTACCAAACTCTGAGAAGAAAAATGCAAATCATAACACCACGAATCCACGATGGCCATCTCCAGAAAAGATTTCGTGGAACGTACTTGATCTGAAGAAGGAGAACTACTACTCTTGCTCTGTGGGGCGGACTCGCACAAATGCTCGCTATCTACTTCAGTCCTCGGATGATGTTGTCTCGTTTCTGAAGGAACTGGCCGGTGCATCTTCCGCAAGCGTTTCATCTTCCGATTGAGAGATATAATGCTCTAAGATTTCTCGAAAGTGTAGCTTCATATGCTTCTGAGTGCTATTACATCGTAGATATTTCTAATGCTTCAATTGAAGTGTTAGATTGAGTGATAGAGTAGGTATTGAAAGCATCTAAACCAGTGACAATCAAAGACTTGGGAAGAGGAAGAAGAAAAAAAAACACACCACACGAAGTAATATCCTTACTCAAATATGCAGTTCTTTTGCTTCATTTGTCTCCACTTATTTGCATGTGTCATTTCCACTATCAAATTTGGAGGGTGATTTTGCCATCCCCTTTTCGCCTTAGGCCATCTCGAGCCAAGGGCGATAGGTTATTTTTACTTCGGAAATGTGCAAAGTCCGTCTCTCACAAGGAAGCTATATTCCTAGTCGACAAGAGGCTATGTTCTAGTCAACAAGCAGGGTTGGTTACTTGTAGGGAGGCAGATTGTCTGCCCTACTGTTTGGATGCTCTTTCCATCCCCTCCCCTCCTATTTATGCGATCACGGTTAACCCACGTTAACATTTTATATTCTTATTATTTTTTGTCTTATTATTTCTATAAAAAAAATTAATATAAAATGTTAACGTGGCTTAACCGTAACTGCACAAAATAGGAGGAGATGGGAAGGGCATCCAAACAGGAGGGCAGACAATCTGCCTCCTACTTGTAGCACTCGAGTTGAGTGGGTCGCATTCAGCCCTCCGACACGCTTTTTGTGGGGCCCACGTGGACTTCATATCTCTCTCTCTCCCCCTCTAAATCTAATAAACTATTAAGTACTATAGTTCTATAATTCATGGAGATGAACAAAAATAATCGAGACTACACATTAAAAGATATGTTTTGTAGGGACATATATCTTGGAGGGATAAAACATAGCCCACCGCTCTTTAGTCGTGCACTAATCCAGATGGCTTTATGTAATCTTTTCTTTCTTTGTAATCATTAAATTAAATAATCAAAAGAGAATCAATGTACAAATCAAGAGGAATGCAAAAGGCGAAAACAAGAGCGCAGAAATCAAAATTTGTTAAGAACTCACGAATACAGTTGCCCCTTAGAACCAACTTGTAACGGCAGAGTTCCCAAAGATGTACAATCTTTCTAACGTTCCTGAGGCAACTTTGAGCCACCACCAGATCGTGAGTCGTGACAATGGCAACAACAGAGGCAGAGTCGAACAGATCTCGCGGCGAAATTGAACGGATTGGCGACGGAATCGAACGACGCTTGCAGCGATGACCGTGCTGATTTCTTTGGGCTTCTCAAATTTGTTTGGGTTTATAAGAGAGAGGAGTGAAGGAGAGAGGAAAGAGAGAGAGAGAGGGAGAGAGTGACGACATGGCGAGAAAAGATGAGAAAGAGAGGGGGAGGGCAGAGGGAAGATGCGAGCAACATAGCAAAAGAATTAAACACCATTTCTCCCTGGAATTTCATTGCTTTTGGCTTTTGAATTCAAGCAATGCATGAACGAGTGTACACACACACACACGCACATTTATATAAGCTGAAAACAAAAGAATTAAACACCACAACCTTCATTGAACAGAATGTAAAACAAGTTTACATAAGTATACCTATCGGGAACCGAATCTGTGGAAAGTTTTTGTAAAACGGAACACGAAGGAAAGTAAGATACCCGGATGAAAACACAGAAAGCACACTTAGTAGAATTATACCCAACACCCTCTAGGCATACAAGAAATAATGGCATGGCTAAAAATGAATAATGAGTGATACTGATTGAACTAAACTGAGGTAATCTAAGCATATATCACCTAATATGGATGGCGGAGGTTTTACCGAGCTCTATAACTGAAATTGGCTTACACCTTCTTGTTTGGTTCAAAGACGTACTTGATCAGCGACTCCTTGATTGGCAGCAACTCGGGGAACTCTTTCTTCAACTTGGATGCATCCATTTCATTGTTGCTTCGAGCTGCAACTATAACCTTGGCTTGCTCTTCGAGTGTGAAGTTAGCCCATGTGAACTTTGGGTCAATGTATTGCTTGTACATCTCCAGGATCTCATTATGGCTTACGACACCAGGGTTTGTGAAGTTCCATATGCCCCTCAAGTTCCGCTTTGCCATCTCAATAGAAATGGGTATTAACTCATCCAAGATGGTCATGCTGTTAGGAATGTTTACCACTTTGTTATAACGAGAGATCTTGGTAATGAAGTTGCGAGGGTTGTTCAGGTCAGATGAGATGGGCATCCGAACTCTGAGAGTGCAGACGTTGTCGAATTCTTTCAAGAGCTCCTCAACCTGATTAAAAATAAATGACAAACGTAAGACTTGAGAAGAGGAAGAATAAAGAAAAGAGCATAAAACCAAGAACTCTCAGTGAAATGTACCATGGCCTTGGTTTTTGAGTAGTAAGAACCATGGAAATTGGGTGTGTCCTCTTCCTTGAACCCAATTCCTGAACCTTCTGGATGTTTAGCATCATATTCAAATATACACCCAGTAGCATAGTTCATCATCAGGAGTCCATGCTCTCTGCAAACATCTGCCAAGGTCAAGGTTCCAGCAACATTGACTCGAATTGTTTCTGCTTTATGAGATTCGCACCAATCAACATTAGGTCTACCAGTCAGACCAGCAGCATTGAACACATGGGTTGGCTTGACATTCTGAATATCTGCCAAGAGCGATGAGCGATCCTCAAGACGCCCTTTTCCATATTCATAAGGAATCCCTTGTTTTTCACATAACTTCCCAAGTACACCCCCAATCCAACCAGTCCTACCATAGATCAAGAACTTATAGGGAGGTTTACGAGGAGAGCCACTGGCTTTGGAAGGTGGAACCAACATTCGGGGATTACTTGAGACAAAAGATTCAGATTTGCCCTCTTCAGACTCTTCCGAGAGTCTCTCAATCCCACCAGGCATCATCAGCATTCGAGGATGAGGGAGCAGAGCCCCAGATACATCACCCCACCAATTAGGATTCTGAGTGTACCATTCTATAGTCTTCTTCAACCCATCTTGCCACTGGGTGCGCTCTGACCACCCCAAAATCTTCAGCTTCTCATCATCTAGGAAATACCTCTGATCATTGAAAGGTCTGTTTTCAACAAACTTGATGTTTGTCTCCGGGTCAATTGAGAAAAGTCTGCATATATCCTTGGCCACATCGATAACTCTCCTTTCCCTCTTTGTTCCAATATTGTAGACATGTCCAATCTCTCCTTTGTGAAGAATGAGCTCAAAAGCCTCAGCAACATCCTCACAAAATAGATAGCTTCTCACGTTAGAACCATCCCCGTGAATGGGCAGAGGCTTCCCTTGCATGGCCAACAGAATGAACTTCGGAATCAATTTTTCAGGAAATTGATTTGGTCCATAGACATTGTTTCCACGGGTAGTTATAACAGGCAATCCATATGATCTGCCATATGCCATAACAAGCATTTCCGCTCCCGCTTTTGTTGCAGAGTATGGATTTGTTGGGAGAAGTTGAGATGCTTCATGGTTTCCCACAACAGCATCTTCATCAGTCTCACCATAGACCTCATCTGTGCTGACATGGATGAACCTCTTGATTTGTCCAGTAACTTTGCATGCTTCTAGGAGAACATGGGTGCCATAGATGTTGTTCTTTGTGAACTCAAAGCTGTTACCAAAGGAGTTGTCGACATGGGTCTGGGCAGCAAAATGCATTATGGTATCGATCGACTCAGTGATGAGTAGATAGTTGACAAGGTCAGCACTGGCAATGTCCCCCTTAACAAACTTGAAATTGGGTGATGATTTGGAGGGAAGGAGGTTTTTCAGATTTGAACAATAGTCAAGCTTGTCAAGCACAACAATCTTGTAGCCAGGGTAACTGCGGATGAGCCGGTTGGCAACATGAGATGCGATGAAGCCAGCAGCCCCAGTTATGAGGATGTTCTTGGGGGTATATGAACCCATGTTGGAAAACGTCTAAATATCAAACATTAGAAAACTACAATGAGAACCGAAGCTAAAACAATATACCAATACATACCAAAATACATAAACTACTGAAAATCAACAATGGAGCTAGAAGGACATGTAAAGCAAACTTTCCATTTATCCCATAACCCTCGGTAAAACGACATTATCACGACACTGTAAACAATAGGAAACAGATAATTCAAATGACAGATCACCTTAGTTTATAACAAAACAGAGCTACCAAAATTACATATAAAGTTTCTAATTTGGTGATTAAAAGCGCAAAGTTGCCAAATCAAGTACACCGTATACAGCCAATTTCTTAGAAAGGACTCATCAATATCTTAAAAAGTTACCAACACCTCATTATATACTAAGGATTAACTTTTCTTTTATGTTTTTTCCTTCCCCTACAAGCAAGTAAACATGCCCGAATCGGTATCAAACAGAAGCAAGACCACAACACATCACAAAAACATTCACTGAATCCTATCACATCTAACAGAACCGATACATCAAATTTCAGATCATGCATATTCAGAAACAAATGAAAACATCAAATCATCCAACCCATTTGGACTAAACACGCAAACATCAGAATCTCATCCCCATTCATGACAACCCATTTCTCGTTTCACAGATCCCAGATCAAAATTGAGCAATGCCATGTTAGTAAATCAAAGCTTAATAGCAAACCCAACACTCAAATTCTACATATTTATCACAGATCTAACGATTCAAAAGTACCCAAATCACAAATATCACAACCAAAGCAGTGATCCAATACTTTGTCCACATGAAATGTAACAAAAAAAATTGCAGAAAAGATAGTAATAAGCTTACTTAAAGATTTAGCTTCGGTCAAGATCGACCAACCCAGATAGAGAAATTCAGAGACGAAGCCTCAGGAGGCAAGCGATGAGAGAGAGAGAGAGAGAGAGAGAGAGAGAGAGAGAGAGAGAGAGATTCAGGCAGAGAAACTAGAGAGAGAAAAATGGCCACCGATTCATTTGTGAAAGAAAGAGGGTGCAGAGCCTCTGTATGTATATATACGCCCTCTGTAAATCTTAGAAACAGTTAAGGAGAGCCGTATAAGAGACCGAATGACTGAAATGCCCTCCGACGGTTGAGCAAATTACAACGGCACGCGTTTTGCGGGCCCGCCTCTTTTGTAGGGGTAGGCTGGGCGCAAATTTTGGTTTGCAAGTCAGAATTTTGATCTTATGACGTCAAGATCATGGGGTATTTTGGTCTTACCAGGTGAACTTCTTGACAACACCCAATCAAATTTCGCCG